ACATCTCAATTACTAACTATTTGTCTTTTAAATTGCAGTTAATTTTTATTTATATGCATAAGAAAATCAAGAAAGTTATCTACATTTTTATCCTATACTGTTCAATTTTGAACTGGTATATCAATGAAGTTGCAATTTGATTTTCTTTTTCGTCTAGTAACTTATGAATTAATAAAAAAAATCAAGAAAAATTTAGGTTTCTTACTATTACGTTGCAAACAATATTGTGATCCTCAAATCCATATAAACATAAAAACCAAATTCCACTGATTGACGTAATACTATCTACGAGATCTCCAGGTTTTGGAAATGTAGATGCTCAATAGAAAGAGACTTTTCGTAATGTAACCCTTACATACATAGAAATGGGGATTGTAGATTATAGGAAATTTTGTATTTCTCTTCTATTATTGTTAAATTGTTATTCTTAACATGCCAGTTTCATATATATGTATAGCTGTACTCCTTTTTGAATAAGAAACTCAAAGATAAGGAATTTGCAGTGAAACATGCATCATTCAGTTTTTAAAACACTAATTGATGGTATTTACGCTTTGACAGGGCAAACGCAATGAAAGTAGGAAGCTCAATGATCGCTGAGAAATTTTAGTGTAAATGCGACAGCACTGACCGTTAACAGGGATTATAAAATATATGTAACCACTCAGATAGAAATTGTTCTCATTTTTGATACTGCTTGAACAGATGAAAAGGATCTAAGGGCACTCAAAAGTAAATAGCTTAAATACACACTCTACAAGGGTGAGTTTAGGTTTATTGCATTTGTGTCACATTAATGCGGTCGAATAATTATTAAATACAATGACTCTATAAAAAGAACTTTTGTATAATAATACCTTTTAATAGTTCTCTCAATTCTTCTACGGCTTCCCTTTTGAGATCGGGATTTTCCCTAAGTTCCTTACGAGCCACCTCTTGCATTTCCGGTGAAAGGTCCCCTAATTCGAATTCCAATGTGAAATTACCAAGTTGTAAACTTGGTAACCTCTCCATGTCCGTAAGCATTGTCTCGGCAACTGTAATAGAACAGAAAGTTGATTAATTAATTTACCTATTCGTATACGTAAATCCCGTTAAATTACGCAAGTCATTACATTCTACAGATAATTAGTTTGACAACAAATTTTTACGCCAAATGGGTGTAGTTATAATTAAAGACCTTCGTTTAATATGCATTTTATTATTAAAGTCATCATACTGGCTCAATTTTCTTTATTTGGAAACTACATATGTCTGGGAATATGAATTAAGTTGATGTATTATAAAGCACTTCTTAAAATATTATTAAGATGGCAATTAAGAGTCAATTAATGAGAAAATGGTGTAGAAATAATGGATTGTATATTTGAGCATCTAGAATAATATCAAAACAATTGCATTGCTAGAAAGAGAATCCCCTTAATTTTAATGATTCAACAAAATTTTGTAAATTCAAATGAGTAGATAAAAATAAACCACATTTTTTAAATACATATTTATCTATAGTACCACATTTTTAAATATATAATGTTCGTTTATCACATAAAGAATTGTTATGCCTTGTAGGTGTAAATTTAAAAAATGATGATCGGTTAGCGTATTTTTCGCTGATATTTGAATAAAATGTTAGTAAACTCAACCAAATACTCAGCATGATCACTAGAATTTTCGTCCTAAATATCGGAACGAAAATTCAAGCGTTTTTTATTTTAATAAACTTCCATTGACAACAAACAGTCGTGTTTACTAATGTTGCATGTATGTTGTTGTTGAAAATAACTGTTCAAAATAATAAAATTCTTTTGCAATTCTTATCAGATGTTATGGGCTTATTTATATCAAATGTATGATAAGACGAGTAAGTTTCTTCAAAATTCTCCTTGAGATGTTTCGCGATAAGAACTACCTATATCACTTAATGCCCAATATTTCATGTACTTAATGCAGTATTTATTGGAAAATTACTTGTGACAACTATCCTTGAATAAAAATAGTTGAAATCATTGTGTACGGTTCATACAACAATTTTGTGTACTAATTACTTATTGGAAAATTTTACAAGAGACTACTTGTCAACAGCACTAAACAGCCTTCTGAGATTTATCGAAGGTTAATTAGATACATCTAAGTGACAATTATACAACATCATTTCTTTTAACAATTTTTAAAGGACTAACTAAGTTATTACGGAAAACACAACGAGAGTCTTGATAAGCATAAGATTCTATACGTTTTTGTGCATCAGTTGATTAAATCCCACAACTTACATTGATATATTAGGCAATTTTACGGTTAATTACTTAAGTATGACAAATCAGCTGGTGAAGGGTTTCCCCATGATACATTGGTATGCAATTGCATTAACTAATTCAGAAGTAACGCTTCGAATATCTTTAGTTGATAGGTAAATATCGCAGAATAAACGGTATAAAATATTTGCAATGCAAAAGAACTTACTAGTAGTTACATAAACAGTATGTTTTGTACATATATTTTTTATTATATTAAAAGAGTAAAAGGTAAGAAATTTGAAAACAGAAGTACTGTCCAAAATACTAACTCATTTTAAGCCAAAAAGCAATATTCATGTATTTATCGGTACTTTTTATTGTATCTGTTCCAACATTACAAATTATATTATATAAGTTGAATATTATCTTTTCATTCTGCAGCTAACTAAAGTTACATACGCAAAAATTACCAATTCAAATGAGTAATAATTAAAGCGAAGACCTCTGTATCGCTTGCTTATAATTATAGAGTTTTCGAAAATTAAAATTATTATTCCTCAAAATTCTATTATGTCATACATTTAAGTACTATATTTTGAATTATTTTTAAAAACTCTAAAATTCGAAAATTAACAATAAATTATCGTTGCAGTAACTAGTATACTACAAACAATAAAGATTTCATAGATGAGGAATCCAAAAGCACTTTTCCCGGAAAGTTGATTTTGTAATAAAGAACCCTACAATTGCAAGCAATTGTGTTGTAAATTTTTATTCATTCATTTCTGGCTTTGTTAAAAAATTACGAAAAACTACTCTAATATGCTTTGTCCTGTGAGATAGCCGACTGAAATTACAGCAGAAATTAATAGAGTAAAGTTTTTCAATTTTTTTGCAAGGGAGAGTCAAAGTTGGCTAATTTTTGAACGATTTTGATGATTAACAAGAAAAAGTAGTTTGCTATAGATTCCAATATACATAATAAGAAAATGAAAAATTATTCCAATAGCATTTGAAACAAGAAAGTTGTGATTAATAGTAAGTAATGCTTAAAATTGAAGAAAAGTTTTAATCAACTTTGATTCCAATCAAAAAACGTCTCTCCATTCATTTTTGCAATTCCTTTACGTGGCTAATCTTGAAGGACGAATTTGCATTAAAGTGATTTTACTTTAAAATTTGTATATTGATGCATATATGAACTAAATAAATAAAGCAGTATTTGTATTGTGCGCAATGGGATTATTAAAAAAAATGTGTTAATGAATTCATTATCCTTAATAAAGGATATACACACAAATTTAAATTTATGTACCTTATTTATTAATAAAAATAACGTAATTTCAATGTTTTTTATAAATAATGTTTTAAGTGAAAACTGACCTTTTGCCATTGAAGCTATTGCAAGCTTTTACAAGGATGATGCTAATGTAAGTGTTTACCTATTATTATCATAATTAATAACAACGTTTTGACGTACGTTTAAAGGATTCAAAACAAAGTCCGATTGCGTCATTAATTCAAATAAATAATTACTTTATATGTTTGTGTAATCATTTTTTTTGCAAATAATTGAGTTAATAATTCAACACGGTATTTATAATGCAAAAGTTTAAAGTAACAACTTGAAAAGAACAGAGAATGCACGATTACAGATTAAAATTTGACTTGAAAATATTTTCAGGAGTTTTGTATCATAATAAATAAAACTGTAATTCAAAATGACAATGAACAAAAGAGAAAATTTAAACGTCTAGCAGGTATTCACATGATTTTTTATATAATAGATGATAAATGGTAACTTACGTTTAGGCATTGTGATGAAAAAATTGAAAAGTTTTGATCACAGAAAACAATATGAAAGTAACTACTATTACAGAACCAACCCGCTTAAAGTCACCTGTACGACTAATAAGAAGTTTCCATGAGAAAAGTGAAACCATGCAGGTGAACACGAACATGCGCACCTGTCCTTAATTAAGCTTGATGCATCTTAAGTAAAGTAGATGTTCAAGAAAACCAGCCATCTACCGTCGTTGACTTACGTCATCGTAAGTCTCGCGAAGACTGACTTTTGACCCGTTAAAGTATGTTTTTTTTTTACTGGTCGATTCAATGTCAACGCGAATTCAGGTTTAGAAGGTAAAGCTGAAGAAGGCAAATATTTGTTTGTAATTTTATTTAACATTGATTATAACAGATTGAATTTTGTTACTACTGTAATTTTCTTTTATGCACTAAAAGTTGTCAGTATTTAAAAAGTTTGTAAAATCTTTTATTTGCAATAATAATAACTGAAGTACTTATTTGAAACTGTAAACAAACGTTCGCAACTGGGAAAATCAAAGTAATCTAATGAAGATCAGCCAAAGGTAGAAAATCGTAATAAAAAATCGTAAAATTTCTTTGCGTACGAAAGATTGGATCAATCATACCCTATTGTTATCAATTTTAAAAAAATAAAATTATATCGGTTTTGTCCTACTTATTAAAGATAAATTTACTCCAAAAACATGCAAGATTGTCAAAATATGGTATTTGTTATTAAAAACATGAATTGTTTTGGCAATCTTACTGCCATCTTTCCTTAATACTTGTCGAAAAAATTAAATTTAGTCCAAATTATTGTCTATGGTTTCTCAAATATTAAGAGTCGTGAATATAATGAAAATAAAATTTACTTTAGATACGTATATTTCAAATTGGCCGTACTTTAAAAGAAGCTCTCGATAGGCTTCATGATTTTTACTACAGCTGAGCTTTTGTTAATAGATAGTTTTTAAGAGGCAAGTGAAATCAGAACTCAATTCATGTGACAGGAGCGTCGTCGTCAAACAAATAAAAAATGAAGCCTAGTTTCTAGCTGTTTTAATTTTTTTATACTTGAGGCAGGTCTAACTACTAACACAGGATATATTTATGCATATAAATTTTGTAAATTGATAGTTAATGGTATTTGATTCGTTCTAAAGAAATGGCTTACGTAATTTTTTAAAAACGCCATTTAACATAATTACATATATAATTAAAATGAATTGAGTACCTACGCAAATAGGTAAATCTGCATGTTACGTCTGAGTCAGTTCGATTATAAAATGACTCCAGGAAAAATTTACAAATACAGATATTTATTTTCAATAGACAAATTCGGTTTCTAACTTTTTAGCCTACAATCGAATCAGAATCCACATTAATCCATAAAAAATATATGTGAAGTCTTTTAGTAGATAACCATAATATTTCATTTCAGACTACGAGGGTGGATTGATAAGTTTCCGGCCTAACCAAGAGATGACGCCACTAGGCCTACCTTGAGGTGACATTCTATAGTACCATCCTTGGATAGCTTGTAGCTATAGTTTCAGCCCGATCTCCTTGCTAGTGTAGGTTTGACAGCACGCTGAACAAGACGCCTCTGTGGTTTTCGTAAAAATGGAAAAGCAGGAAAATCGTGCTGTCATCAAATACTTTTATTTGAAGGGGTTAACGCCGAAGGAAATTAAAAAAGAGATGGACTCAACACTGGGGACATCCTCCCCGTCATATTCAACCGTTAAGCAGTGGGTTTCCGAGTTTAAAAAGGGTCGTGTGAGCACCTCTGATGGGCCTCGCTCAGGACGCCCCGTTGAGGTCACAACTCCAGATATGATCGAAAAAATTCATCAAATAGTGCTGGGAGACCGCAGATTGAAAGTGCGTGAGATAGCTGAGACCTGTAAGATGTCATATGAACGTGTGCAACATATTTTGCACCAACATTTGCATATGGAAAAGCTCTGTGCAAGATGGGTGCCGCGTTTGCTAAC